CCTCCTTTTTTTTCTTCCCCTACATCCAAACAAGAACTAATTCCTGCCCTGACCAGTGTGGCTCAGTTGGTTGGAGCACTGACCCACAAAGCAAAAGGTCACTGGTTCAATTCCCAGTCAGGGCACATGACTGGTTTGGTCCCGATTGGGTTGTGTTCTAGAGGCAACTGATTGATGTTTTTCTCTAGCATAAATGTTTCTCTCCCTCTCTTTCTCCCCGCCCCCAGTCTAAAATAATTAAAATCCTTAAAAAAAAAGAGGATACTCTCAAAAAAAAAAAAAAAAGAATTCCTGTAGATTCTACCTCCTAAATATTTCTGAACACACCCAGTTCCCTCACTTCCCTTAGACTCCATCGTTAGTATACGTGCAAGGTACCGTCCTCATCTACCCAGGTGGCTGTTAACAGTCCTCTAACCTCTAACAGTCCTCTAAATTTTACTACTCTCTATCTAATCCATCTTCCAGATCAAAGAGCAAATCTGAGCACAAGAATCTGAATTAAGTCCTTCAAATGCCTTCTCATAACTCTTACAATAATGTGTAAACTCCTTAACATAATTTACAACACCTTTTACTGTATTTTACCATCTGTTCCTCCCCTCCCCAGCTAACTCTCTAGCTGCATCTATAAATACTCATTCCCCTCTCCCAATACTAATGAGTTATTTCATTTCTCAAATGTGCCACGTTCTTTACCTCAGAAGCTTTCCCACTAACACTTCGCCTTTATCCTACCTCTCATTTAACAAATATTTAGCCAGTCTGCTTCCTCTGACTAATTCTTACTTTTCTTTCAGATGTCAACTTTACCATCACTTCCTGCAGTAAGCCTTCCTTGACTACATAGACTAGATTTGGCCCTTGCTGGCGTAGCGCAGTGGATTGAGCATGGGCCTGCCAACCAAAGAACTGCAGTTCGATTCCCAGGCACATGCCTGGGTTGCAGGCCAGTTCCCAGAAGAAGACGCACGAGAGACAACCGTACATTGATATTTCTCTCCCTCTCTCCTTCCCTTCCCCCTCTAAAGATAAATAAATAAAATATTTTTTAAAAAAAGACTAGATTTGGCTACCCTGCTATTGTGCTCCGTAACACAAAACCTAGTACGTTCCCTATTATACATATCATTTTATTAGAATCACTTTTTTCTTATCTCTTCTGTAAAAGTCCAATAGGGCATTATCATCTTATTCACAAAATTTGGTGCTGGGTGTGACAAATATTACATATTAAATATTTGTAAGCTGAACAGGTAGTTTGAAAGATCTATAGATAGAATGATACTAAGTACTGACTAGGTACTGTATAGTAAGAAAATAAACCTGGGAGTTAGGATTTATTTCCAGAATTTTTCCCAGCATACCAATAAGGAATGGAGCAACCTCAGAGAGATTAGATAGTATCACAGGTATTTAAAGTGTTTAAAAGTACAGTTAAACTTACATGTATCTGATTTCAAAGCCCAAACTTTTCCTACTGAACCACAATGTTTACTTATAAACATTTTTTACATATTGCAAATAGGTCTTTATACTCCTAAATTGATCTAAAAATTAGGAAATACACTTCTTAATGTAAAAGTACTGATTAAAATCACTTCTTCAAATTAGGCAATATACTTTAACTTTAGAAAAGTCTTTAACAAATAGTCTAGATATAAAATAAAATACATATTTCTTTTTAAAAGTTTAAGTACACCTCAGGTTAAAAGAAAAGACACCAAAGTAAAAAACAGAACAATTAAAAAGCAAAAGAAAAGAGGGACTTCCGCCAAGATGGAAGCGTAGGTGGAAGCACAGCACCTTTTCGTACAACCAAGTTTAAAAACAACAAAGTTTTAGCAACAAAAACGCAGCCAAACCACAGAAAGCTGAACTACACGGAAGTCTGACAACAACGAACCCTTCAGCCAAACTGGTAAGAGGGGCAGAGCCAGCAGCAGAGCGGGATCGGGCAGGAAAGATCCACCAGACCGACCTGGGCACGCGACCCAGGTGCGCCAGCAGCTGGGGGCGGATCCTAGGTGTGGAGAAGCGGGCAGACCCACTGAGGGCACAAGGCAGTGGACCCACTGAGGGCTGATCATGGTCATACATTCGCGTGCAGACAAACTGGTGAAGGAGCGAGGAGAGAGACAGACCTCGCAGGCCCCAGCAGCAGGAACTGCTATTGTCCCTCTATGACCCCGCCCCCACATACAGCATCACAAACCAGCGACCTGGGTGGCCCCTCTCTGACCACACCCCCACATACAGCATCACAACCCAGCAACTGGGTCACCCCCCTGCCCTGGTGAACAACTAAGGCTCTACTCCTCATACCTAACAGACACAAACAGATCAAAACATGGCTCAAGAACAACTCAGAGCCCCAAAGCCAATAAATCTAAGCAAGGAAGAAATAGCCAAACTTTCAGATGCACAGTTCAAAACACTGGTGATCAGGATGATCACAGAACTGGTTGATTTTAGTCACAAATTAGAGGAACATATGAAGGCTAAACTAATTGAAATGAAGGGAAATGCACAGGAAACCAATAGTAATGGAAAGGAAACTGAGATTCAAATCAAAGGAGTGGACCAGAAAGAGGAAAAAAATGACCAAACAGAAAAGGATGAAGAAACAAGAATTCAAAAAAATGAGGAGAAGCTTAGGAACCTCCAGGACATCTTTAAACGTTCCAACATCCGAATTATAGGGGTACCAGAAGGGCGAAAGGCACAGCCACCAGTGGAAAACTTATTTGAACAAATAATAAAGGAGAACTTCCCCAATCTGGCAAGGGCAGTAGACTTCCAGGAAATCCAGGAAGCTCAGAGAGTCCCAAAGAAGTTGGACCCAAGAAGGAACACACCAAGGCACATCATCATTACATTAGCCAAGATTAAAATGAAGGAGAGAATCCTACAAGCAGCAAGAGCTAAGGGGACAGTCACCTACAAAGGAGTCCCCATCAGACTGTCAGCTGATTTCTCAAAAGAGACTTTGCAGGCAAGAAGGGGCTGGAAAGAGGTATTCCAAGTCATGAATGGCGAGGACCTACATCCAAGATTGCTCTATCCAGCAAAGCTTTCATTTAGAATGGAAGGGCAGATAAAGTGCTTCTCAGATAAGATCAAATTCAAGGAGTTCATCATCACCATGCCCTTATTATCTGAAATGTTAAAGGGACTTACCTAAGGAAAAGAAGATAAAGAAGATGAACAGTGAAAGGACGGCAAACTCACAGTTATTAAGAACCACACCTAAAAGAAAAGCAAACTAAAAGGACAGCTAGATCAGGAGCAGAACCATAAAAATGGAGATCACATGGAGGGTTAGCAACAGGGGAGTGGGAGAAGGAGAATGGGGGAGAAGGTACAGAAAATAAGTAGCATAGATGGTAGGTAGAAAATAGATAGGGGGGAGGGCAAGAATAGTATGGGAAATATAGAATCTAAAGAACTTGAGACACGTGGTCATAAACTAAAGGGGGGGAACGGTAGGGGAGGGGGTGTGCAGGGTGGAGGGGAATGAAGGGGGGATATAGAACAACCGTAATGGCATAATTAATAAAATATACTTAAAAAATAAAAATAAAAATAAAAATAAAAATAAAGAAACAAAAGCAAAAAAACCATGCCAATCATCAGGTATCACTCTCATTTTCATGGATTCAATATTCAACTGTGGAAGCATTTAATAACATTACTACACTGAGCTATAAAATTAGCAGCACATTTAGAACTTACTTCATAATGTTCTTTATATGCTGTCAAAAATAGAAGCAGCACTGTAAAATGGGAATATGAATTCTAGAGTTAGACAAACTTGGGCTTGGATCCATATTCCCATTACTCAATAGCTGCGTGACCTTGGGCAAATTCTCCACTTCTCTGAATTGAAATTGCACATAGTTAAAATGAAGATAATACTATCTTTATTGAATAACTATTTTAACAATTAATACACATAAGGCCCCTGGTACAAGGCAGGTATCAGTAAATGATATAAACAATAGTTGATATCTTCAGATCTTTGATCCATGAATTTAATCTGAAATGTCAGAAACACACTCACCTGTAACATGGTGATAACTGTTGAACAACTCGTCTAACCTTTCCCTAACACCTACTAATGAGTAAATTATATCTATATTCCGTAATATCTGATTGTTTTCAGGTACTATTTCTGTATTGTTTGGTGAGGTCCAGAGAAAGTTAGAAGAAAAAGAAGAAATAACATAGCCCTGGCCAGGTGGCTCAGTTGATTGGAACATGATCCCATATACCAAAAGGCTATAGGTGCAATCCGCAGTCAGAAGGCAACCTATCGATATTTCTGTCACATCAATGTTTTCCTCCCTCTTTCTCTCTCTGAAAATCATTAAATATATCCTCAAGTGAAGATTTTTTTAAAAAGAAGAAATAACACAAAAAGATATTAAATGTTTTCGGCTGTTAAAAGATGATCTGCTTACAAAAAAAAAAAAAAAAAAAAAAAAAGATCTGGTTACAGAATCTGCAGTGGGTAAAAAAAGCCCAAAAACAATTTTACACATGAAACTGAGGGATCAGATTACCAGGACGAGCTCCTCTCCTGCACTTAAAGTAGAAATCTCTTACCTCCACAGCTCCTACTCTTTCTCTCAGGATTTCAGAGCATGATGTACTTTGTACTGCACATCTCAAAGTTCCCATAAATACTAGAGAGACCCAGGAAGAATCGGTTATTTGATGTATGTTAGTTACCCCATGAAATCTGATCCTTCCAGCAAGTGTAAAACGTAAGCAGAAAATGGGAAACTAAAAGAAAGGGGAAGGGAATAAAGAAAGGAAGGTGGTGGAAAATGATCTAAATGACACTACATGATTAGTGCCAAAATATAAGTAGGTCAGCAAAATTAACTAATATGCAAATAAATAAAGACTAATTTGCAGTTATAAATATTGTTGCTACAAAACACTAGATATTAACTTCTTTTTTATCAATTGAACTTCCTTTAAAATTAGCTTACCAGAATCATAGCTTGGAGGCTTCATATCTCCCTGATTCAATTCTGTCCCATATTTCAACTTGTGGTATTTGGCTCTGACAAAGAAATGAGAAAATACAAACCATCTTAAAACATATTTAAATAAACTTTGAGATACGTAATAGGAGTAGTCATCAGTATGCAGCAGTCCTAGCTAACTTTCAAAAGCTCACAGCTTTCTGAGGTGTCGAAGCCATAACACAAAAGCGTCTGCCATTATTATTTTATTGTTATACCATCAAGCACTATTATAAAAAAGGACTAACACTCAGAACCATAAAACTTCCTTCTGTACTTAATGAACTATATTAATGAACTATATTAATACTCTAGTTTTTGTTGTATTTAAATTTTCTTGGTGACTACCAGAGTATAATTCTATTATCAAAAGCAGTAGATAAGTCTGGATTGTAAAATAAACTTATAAAAGACTAACCTTTCTCAAAATTGAGTTTTTTAAGAAGAAAAATCATCTATAATACTCTGCCTTGTCAGGCAATTATGACTTGCCAAGTACGCATTACATTTAACAACCCGAAGGAGTTGTTAGGTAGGGGAACCAGCCCAAATAATGAACGCTGGATAAAATATCCTAGCAGGAATGAGTAACTTTTTAAAAACAGTCGAAGTATCCTTTGCATATTCAGGACAAACTCAAAAGAACTGTGAACAGGAATTCTTGTCTATCTTCTTTTAAAAGCTATATGTATATTATTATTTCTGGTTAACCTGATTAAACCATCGCAGATTTAACCACCTGAAACCAGAAAAATAATCTAGATAAGATAAAAATGTATAAGGTTAAGTAAAAATGGCCATGCTTACTTAATGTATTAGTATATTTTGACTTGTTTGTGTCTCCAAAATATTGAAGCCGTTTACAATAAGTATTCAATACAATGAGACTAAGATAGTAACAATAATATGAAACCTTAAGTACTAAAGAAGTAATGAACGGGTAACACACCCAAATTTGAAAGTTATTTTTGAAAGTTATTTTTACCCTTATAAAAACCTAGCTGAGCACTTACTATAAAGTTTTTGTATTTCAAGGAAAGTACAAAGAAAATAAAAATTGTTTGCTCAAATGTATGAAGTACTACAGTTCTTCATATTATTTTACAGTTACAACAGAAAAAAGTCAATGTTTTATATGTGGGGGAATCTTAAGAAAACCTATAAAAACTATAGACAGTTGATGTTCTGTTTCTTAGGGTAGGTGGTGGGTACACCAGCATTTTTTATCCTAGTCTTTATGTTTGCATATATATAAAATGTTTTGTAATAATATATAACCATTAAAAAGAAAAAGGTATTTGCTAACATGGATTAATCTCTAAGCTAAGTTAAAAAAGTATAAAATCCTATGTACATATGTGTTTCATATGTATGTTATATATATTTCATACGCAGTGAATATTTCTGGAAGAATACATGATACATAATACATCAGTTAAAAAAGATTCCCTTTTGGAAAGGAAATCAGTGAACTGATTCAAAAGGGAAACTACTTTGTGTTACTTGGCTAATTAACCATATATATCCATTCCTTTTGAAAAATTTTTAGTCCTGAGTTATTTAGAACATCTTTTCCTCTATCCCCAATGCTTCTCTTAATCAAATATTTCATCACCACACTAAACATCTCCTAGTCTATTTCAATGTACTTGTAATAATGTTGATTATAAGAGGGTAAGATTTATAGACATGAATTTGACTCAGAGTAACAGTATCTCCTTTAAGTCAAACAGCAATTGAAAGTGACTGGCCTGAGAACCAAATAGAAGTAGCAATAAAATTTTATGGAGTTAGTTTATATATTTTTGTTATATACATATAAAGAGAAACATTTTCAAATACAAAATACTGTACTATAGTGCATTCTAGTGGCCTTAGGAAGAATTGTGACAGCTACAAAAAAGGAATAGAAAATATTCTATGCAATATATGTAACAAAAATAAAACACTATGAACACTTTATAAAAAATTAGACAAAGTCAAAATAAGTACAGAACTGCTGTGTTTACAAACTCTGTTCCCTTAAAAATAATCTGATTAACTCTAATGAACTGTTACTGAATTCTCATGACATGCCAGGCACTGTACTGGCTGCTGGAAATAACTGGCAGCTTGTAATCAATTATAAGGGCGGAGGCAAGGAGATGCCTAAGAGACAGAAATGTAAATCAATTAATTATAGCATACTGTGGAGTAAGAGCTATGACTTACATCAACTGTTAAAGAAACTCAGATGAGGAATTATCTAATTCTGGCAATGGCGGTGTCAAAGAGAAGCACCAAAAAGGTCACACATGAGATTTTAGCTAACCCTCAAAACACCATTAGCTTCCTAATCAGACAAATGAACTCATGCAGAGGGTATTTCTGTCCAAAAGAACAGCTTAAAGTTCCTCAAAGTGTAAAAAACAAACAAAATGAAGTGGGTCAGAAGACAGCTAGCAGTGTGTGTGTGCTATGTGTGTATGTGTATACACAGGACTAGAAAGGAGCCTGGATGTAAAAAGTTTTACTAAGAAGAATTCTGGAATTAGCCAGATGTTTTTAAGCAGTATATAACATCTGTGTTTTAAAAAATGAGTCCAATGGACATGGAAATGTTTAAGAACTCTAATTCACACACACAAAAAATGCTTTTGTATTCCTTTATTACACTTCAATAGAGCCATTACATCAGGAATAATCTCAAATCATTCCACAAACTTCAAAAGATACAAAATCAGGTACTCTTTTCCAGGAGAATCCCATTAGCTTAAAAAAAAAATCTTCCCTAGACCAGGCCAGTTCTTTATCTCTTCTGTTCTTCAAAGTAAACTACTTGAAAAATAAGCAACTCTACCTATCTCCACTTTTTTATCCTTCTCACCCCTCATTCTCTTGTGATCTGGTTTATGTTCCTGCTACCTCAATGAAGCCGTTCTGGCAAGGATACCAAGACACTCCTAACTGGCAAATCCAAATGACTACTTTTAGTATCCAGTCTACTTGGAGTCTGCAATTGTCATACTCCCACTTTCTTTAGCTTGCTTCAAACAGACTGCTCTTTCCTTTCTTCTCCAAAGATCATTTTGTTGGGTCTTCTTCCTCTGCCTTTTCTTCAAACATTTCCATTTCTTGTAGTTCTCTTCTTTTCCCACAATATTTCTTTCCTCAACTACTCCTATTATCTTTACCTACAATATTGATGTATACATGTATGCACATGAATCCTCTCCTATATTTACCTTTAAACCATTATTTCTTATCCTTTAATTCTTAATTCTTATCTTTAATTCACTTGATAACTTCCAAAACACACTTCAAGCTGGAAACCTTCCAATCATTCTTAAATTATCTTTCTTCCTCATCCCTTACACCCAATCATCTTCCAGACTGTTATGGATTCTATCTATTAAAATGTTTCAGAGCTGATGCCTCTATCCCTGCGGCTACTATGTTATCATTTCTCCAGTCCATCCCTCACATTGAGGTCAGGATGATCTTTCTAAAATCTATTTCACACTATTCTGTGTTTAAAACCTTTCAATCACTTGACAATTAAAATGCAATATGTATTCCTAGACTAGATTATGGACCAGGAAAAACCCCTATAAATATCATTATTGAGACATTTGGTAAAAAAAATGATATGAAGATCGTCATTGGAATATATGAAATGGGCTATGTTAGATAATTAAATTTCCTTAGTTTGATAATAATCTGTAATTATACAGAGGAATATCCTTGCTCTTAGGAAACATAAGCAGAGTAATTTAGGGGAGAAGAGATGTAGTATCTGCAACTAAGTAGTAAATGATTTGGAAAAAAACAACATGCTAGAGTGTGCATGATGAAATTAATATATTAAAAATGTGGTCAGACTGATGAATCTGGGAAAGTGGTAGACAGGTCTTGCAACTTCTATTAATTTGAGGTTATTTTTTAAAGTTTTTTGAATTTTCAAGATTCCCTACTATGCGTAAGATAAAAGTTTTAATTTCTTAGGCTCTGCATGATCACTTATCAAATCACAACTAACATCCTTCCCTCCAGTACACAGTAATTACAAATTTCTGAAGACACCAAACTGCTTTATTCCATGAGAAACATATCCTTTCTACTTACTGAACCTTATCTATCTGCCAAACACATCCTTTTTGATAATGATATTCAAGTCTCACCTCCTTTAACTGCACCCTCCTTTCTACTTCCACCTGCCAGACAGAAACGACCACTCTCTCCTTTGCGACTCCACTCTACCGGGCACAGACGTCTCCCAGAGCACCCCCCAGCCTGCACTGCACCGTGTGGTTTCCTAGTTCGTCTCCAGTTATTCTAAGCACATAAGGGCAAGGGCTATGACCTATGTTTACACTCAGCCCCACCACAGAGCTTAAGCTGGTTCATAGATTAGTATGTTTAATGAGAAGAGATACACACACACACAATATTCTTGGTTACTGTAGTATTTTGTATATTTCATTTCTTCCATCTCACGAGATACTATACTGTAACAGTAAAGAGTGCAGGCTTCGGAATCAGACAGACCTGAGAGATCTGAAGCACTGCTCCACCTAAGTCTACAACTCTACCCAGTCATTTTGTCTTTAAGCCTCAGGGCCTGGTACATAATATTTAATAAATAGTTGCCATTTTGATATTACTCTCTTTGCTTATGCCTATAACTTAGAGAGTTTAAAACATCAAATATTCCCAAACTAATACTTTTAAAAGTATTTTTCCCATCTTTCCAATACAGTATTCTTTTCAATCAACTTCTAAGGGAAATGAACCACTTATTTTTCACTAAAAAGTCAACCTGTTTTCAATCTCTTATGCCATTTAAAGATGCCACATGAGGATGAACACAAGTTCTAATAAAGTTTTCTCTGTTTCTTGATATTCATAAATATCATCTGTTAAATGTTATTTTACAGTAGGTTTTGCAAACAGCTCACTAATCAACATGAAAATAATGAGAAATGCATGTGACCACCAAAAATAAAGCAAAATAGAGAATTTCAATACCATCTATCAAGTATTCAAAACAAAAAACTATTTCTCTTTGGAGGAACAAGTATGAAGGACACAAGGACAAGAACTAAGGGGGGTGGAAATGGGAGGGAGGTGGGGAGCACAGGGTGGGCTGGGATGGGAAAAATAGACAGAAAACTGTACTTGAAGAATAAGTAAATAATATTAAAAATAAATAAATAAACTTCATTCATAAAAAAAACTATTTCTCACTGCTGACATACACAAAAATCCAAAGACCACCATCTGTTAATGCAAATGAACCTAAATCATATGAAACTCTCCTCTGTGAATTGTCCTTGACTTAAAACCCAAGCTTAGTTACTTGAGTATCTCAGATACCAGCAAACTAGAAAGGTAAGATTTGCTTCTGGAGAGATACCAATAAGCTGATAGCAAAGGAACAAAATACAAAAAACGTCTATAAAAAGATTCTCAACATAGTCTGCCAGAGAAAAGTTTTCTCCAAAAAAAAAAACAACACATCAAATTGAACAATATTAGATAATAGGAAAAGAGCTATAAACATTATAGAATTTCCTTTACAACTCAAAAACTATTTCAATTCTGTAAAGAAATGGATATTAATAATTAATAGTTCAGTTAGGTTTCTTAAGAGTGAACAGGGTAGAGAAAATGTTGCTAAAATTGTTCAAATCACATAAATCAGTTTACTGGTTATTAATATTAAATGTTAACACAATTAAATTAAGATATTACAACCATTTATAAATGTCTATTACAGATGATACTTCCTGAATTCAGAAGTATAAAGTATTAAAATTTGGATTTGTTTTAGGAATGACAGGAAAATTACTCCAATATTTAACTATCTTCTATTTTACATGAATTACCTTTCCTGTTTAAGAGCATACTCCAGCATTTTGATCCTCCTCACAAGATCCTTCTTCAAATTTTCTTGACCTTTCCTTTCCCCCTGAAGAAAGGCAATCTGAGCCTGAGTAGGAAAAATAAAGATAAAACTCAATTTAGACCAAATAAGCTTTTTTAAAAACTCAGTTAAGAAAGAATATTTGGAAGACAGGACAATTAGATTCAAAAACATTTCCTTTGCATACCTGTCACAAACTATGTAAGTATACAGAAAGGCACTGACTGCAAGAAAAAAAAAGGTTTAAGCTCTGACTGGTGTGGCTCAGAGGATTGAGCACCGGCCTGCAAGCCAAAAGGTCACTGGTTCAATTCCCAGACAGGGCACATGCCTGGGTTGTGGGCCAGGTCCCCAGTTGAGGGCATGCGAGAGTCAACTGATTAATGTATCTCTCACACACTGATGTATCTCTCCCTCTCCTTCTCCCTCCCTTCCCCTGTCTCTAAATAAATAAAATCTTTTTTTAAAAAAAGGCTAGATACTGGAAAAAAAGGTTTAATTAATTTTTAAAAACAAAATGACATCTATATGCATTTTATTTCAGGCTAGGGAGGTTACAAGGTATAGTCCATATCCTTAAGAGTCTACAGTCTAAAACAACCATAAATGCAGACATATGCAAAGCATACAGTATAGTGTGTTCAACTGTTTGTCTCCCAAAGCATTGGGGGTTTTCTCTTTTATAAAGAGTGAAGAGGGAGACTTCCCGGGAGACTTCCGGCCAAGATGGAGGTGTGGGTGGAAACACTGTACCTTCTCGTACAACCAAGTTTAAAGACAACAAAGTTTTAGTAACAAAAACGCAACCAAAACACACAAAATTGATCTGTATGGAAGTCCAACAACAACGAATCATTCAGCCAGACTGGGAAGAGGAGCAGAGTCAGCAGCTGGCAGAGCAGCGTTACACAGGAAAAAGCAGCTGGACCAACCCAGGCGAGCAGGCAGCAGCTGGCAAATCCCAAGTGTGGTATGGGAACGGGAGGACCCCGTGAGAATGCTGGGTGGCTGGCTGACTGTAGTCACACATTCACCCGCAGATAAACTAGGCAGAGGAGCAAGCAGTGAAGACGGACCACGCAAACCATGGCCCCAGCTCCGGGAAATAAAGCCTAAAAGCACCGACTGGAAAAATTTTCGGGGTCAAGGTGCTGGGAGAGGCTCCCAGGCTCACAGAGACCCATAGGGTCTCTTTGTTGGAGAGACCCATAGGGTTCTGGAGGGTGCACAAGGCCACACACCCAGGAACCAGCATCAGAAGGGCCCTATTTGCTTGCAGGAAGCAGCAGAGGGGACCAAAATCAGAGAGAGAGCAGACAAACACCACTGCCCCTCTCTGACCCCACCCCCATATACAGCATCACAACCCAGCAACTGGGTCACCCCCCTGCCCTGGTGAACAACTAAGGCCCTGCCCCTCTTACAAAACAGGTGCAAACAGACCAAAACATTATGGCTCAAGATGAGCAGCTCAAAGCCCCAGAGCCAATACTTCTAAGCAACCAAGAGCTAACCAACCTTTCAGATGCACAGTTCAAAACACTGGTGATCAGGATGATCACAGAACTGGTTAATTTTAGTCACAAATTAGAGGAACATATGAAGGCTAAACTAAGGGAAATGAACAGGAAACCAATAGTGATGGAAAGGAAACTGGGACTCAAATCAATGGAGTGGACCAGAAGGAGGAAAAAAATAACCAAACAGAAAAGGATGATGAAACAAGAATTCAAAAAAATGAGGAGAGCCTTGGAAACTCCAGGACATCTTTAAACATTCCAATATTCGAATTATAGAGGTGCCAGAAAGAGAAGAGGAACAGCAACAAGTGGAAAACTTATTTGAACAAATAATAAAGGAGAACTCCCCCAATCTGGCAAAGGAAATAGACTTCCAGGAAATCCAGGAAGCTCAGAGAGTCCAAAAGAAGTTGGACCCAAGAAGGAACACACCAAGGCACATCATCATTACATTAGCCAAGATTAAAATGAAGGAGAGAATCCTACAAGCAGCAAGAGCTAAGGGGACAGTCACCTACAAAGGAGTTCCCATCAGACTGTCAGCGGATTTCTAAAAGAGACCTTCCAGGCAAGAAGGGGCTAGAAAGAGGTATTCCAAGTCATGAAAGGCGAGGACCTACATCCAAGATTGCTCTATCCAGCAAAGCTTTCATTTAGAATGGAAGGGCAGATAAAGTGCTTCTCAGATAAGATCAAATTCAAGGAGTTCATCATCACCATGCCCTTATTATCTGAAATGTTAAAGGGACTTATCTAAGAAAAAGAAGATAAAGAAGATGAAGAGTGAAAGGACAGCAAACTCACAGTTATTAAGAACCACACCTAAAAGAAAAGCAAACTAAAAGGACAGCTAGATCAGGAGCAGAACCATAGAAATGGAGATCACATGGAGGGTTAGCAACAAGGGAGTGGGAGAAGAAGAAGGGGGGAGAAGGTACAAAGAATAAGTAACACATGGTAGGTAGAAAATAGATGGGGGGGCAAGAATAGTATGGGAAATATAGAATCTAAAGAACTTGAGACACGAGGTCATAAACTAAAGAAGGGGAATGGTAGGGGAGGAGGTGTGCAGGGTGGAGGGAAATGAAGGGGGGAAAATGGGACAACTATAATGGCATAATCAATAAAATATATTTTTTAAAAAGAGTCAAAATGGGAAAAGAAGAAAATTATAAGTAAAATCATGATTTCTTATAATACCCTTGCAAAGTAAAATTCCTCAGAGCTCCAGCACATATTTAAATTTAAGATGGATCCTTGTCCAGAGACGTTATCTGGGACCTCCCCAGCAAACAATAAAGAGCTGCCTTTCCTCAAGCTCCACCTTTCATTCCAGCCCCACCTCCCACTTAATATGTAGGAAAAAAAGAAAGTGAAAGCTGGAAAAGGGAAAATTAGAGATAATGGCCCTCTTTAGTTTCCTCCCAAAGAATTATTGTACTAACAAATAGAACCCCTACATTTTAACATGACACGAACTGTAAAATTCTCGTCTTCAGGGAAACAGAGGGCAAGGAACGAGCTGATCTGCAGAATAATTAAAAAGACATTTAGGCTATGGCCAGTTAGCTTAGTTGGTTAGTGTTGACCGAATATGCCAAGGTTGCAGGTTTGATCCCCGGTCAAGGCAAATACAAGAAACCACCAATGCATACAGAAATAAGAGGAACAAAACATTATTCCAGGTAAGTGGAGTAATGTTTCTCACTCTCCATTAATCTTTCTCTTTCTCTAATATCAATAAATTTTGAAAATAAAAAATTTTCAAAAACGCATTTAAGGTTGAAATAATACCTTCCACTTAAGGAACTGAAGCCATGTCACAAACACTCATTTGTTAAAGTAACTCATAACACTACTGAGAATAGGGCAAGAGGTCTACTCAATAACCATCGAGGCTCTCAACTCCCACATGCTTTCCCCTCCCATTTTTATTGTATTAACCCAGGCAACGTTATTCATATTTCTACAGTGTCTTACATTTTATTAAGCAAGAACTACATTAAATGGTGACCTTACCACAACCCTAAGGAATTGTGGGGACTCTCCAACTAAGTTTTAGAAAGCAAGCCATTAAGCTTACTTCTACTTAGTTTGAATGACACTGATTTTTATTTATTCAGTACAGAAATGAAAAAAAATCCAACTTGCAGTTTCATAACTTACAATTATTATGATGTAGGTACTGTTACATTTTTGTTCTCATTGCAACAGGCTCTTAAATTTTAACTGCAATTAAAAAATATTTTATCTTATTGAAATAATTAAAATAATCTAAAAATAATTCAACTGCATAAAAAGAAAAATGGCATCAAATATATATAACATATATATTTAAGAATCATAAAAACTTTTGGAAATTATATATTCGGTAATGAGATCATTATTTTATTTTGTTTTTTTAAAGATTTTATTTATTTATCCTCAGAGGGGAAGGGGAGGAGAGAGGGAGAGAAATATCAACGTATGGTTGCCTCTCCTGTGTCCCTTGCTGGGAACCGGCCTGCAACCCAGGCATGTGCCCTGACTGGGAATCGAACTGCAATCGTCTGGTTCACAGGCCCGCACTCAATTCACTGAGCTAAACCAGCCAGGGTTCGAGATCATTATTTTATATCAGCATAATAATAATAATAATAATAATAATAATACATGCATTTAGAGCTGACAGAAATTAAAGAAATTTTGACTGGTCAAAAAAGCACTACAGCCCACACTGTTTGGCCAAGCAATGCTTTGGCACAAAATTCTATTCTTCAAAATGGCTTTAATAAAAACAATACTGCAATCAGTATAATTATACAATCAAAGTAATAATAAAATTGATTGTGAGTTTTTCCCTTTCTATACCCTTTGGCTAGTTTTGTATTTTTACCACCGTCACTGGTCCTGGATGATTCTGAAACTTCAGCCTCCAATATTCAAGTCTTCACTGTTAACTCATTCCCCAACCCACCAACTATCTCCTTAATGCTCCCAGTATACTTGCTTTCTTATCTTCCTATCAATTCACATATTGGATTAAGTAGTTAATAAATATAGAAGACCCAGAATTGTTCAAGAGACAGGTTACAAAAAGGACAGAAGTGCCTAGAAAAGGCAAACAAAAAGGTGTAATACCAGTATGTGTGATATTCCCCGATGGTAAATCACAGAACAAACTTTGTGGTATTTCCTGCCAAAGATAAATAACTGAAAACCAACCGTAAAGAAACATCAGGCAAATTCAAATTTAGGGATATTTTACATGAATTTTCTTGTAATACTCAAAAGTATCAGGTCCTAAAAGTAAAAGGAAAAGACTGTTTCAGGTTAAAGACGACAAAAAAGACATAAAAACCAAATGTAACGTATGATTCTGGACTGGATTTGGCTATGAAAAAGACATTGGAACAAGAAACATGAATGAGCTCGCAGGATCAGATGATAATAATACATCGGTGTTAGTTTCCTGATTTTGATGGCTGTACGTGCTTACATAGGATAGTACTTCTTTATAGGAAATAAACCTTGTAGTATTTTGCAGGAGGCAACAGGCCATCAGGT